GCAAGAAGGAGAGCAAATCCCATTCTAAGTGGGATTGCTCTTGATTTGTTTCCTTGTTCATATTTAGTGATTTGTTTCCTTGTAGGAATAGAATTCCTTTTGTGTTTTGGTCTTTATCCTCTCCTATAAATAAAGGAGAAACTCCTTGTACTTAGCAGAACAATTCAATATACAGAATATTTTCCCTCTTATTATTTTCTTCAATTTTTGTACTCCCTCCGTCTCAAAAAGATTTACACCTTTCAAAAAAATTGTGTCCCACAATCTCCTACCCATTTCTATTAAAAAACCACTTTTACCCATTACTTTTTCAAACCCTACCTATCACATCATACCTTTTTCCTAATAATCTACACATCACATCCTACTTTTACCTATCACATCAAGGGTATTTTTGGAAAGTCAACACAGAATTATCTATTCCTTAATTTCTACTTTAGTCAAAATGGGTAACACTTTATGGGACGGAGGGAGTATTAAATTGTTTTTCAGATTACAAAGATTCAACCCCTTTTGATTGAGAGAGAGAGCAAAATAAATTAGTAAATTCTATTCTTATCATCATAAATACATTCTTACTATAACAAAATAGAAAAAACAAGAAAAGTCACCAACAGTATTACATAGATCGAGTTCCTATGATATTGGAAATCAATAACTAGTAACATTAATCATTTTAAAAGTATTATATACTACCCGTCCCATAAAACTCTTCCTGTTTGAAAAAAAACATACCTTTAAAATGAGTAATTTTGATATTATTTTCTAATTATGACTCACTAATTCTACACATATCATCGTACTCTATTATAAAGTAAGAACAAAATTAGAAAATGGTCTTGAATTTACTCATTTTAAGGGTTTGTCTTCTTTTAAAAAAGGAAGAATTTTTATTATGGGATGGAGGGAGTACAAAGTATTAGGATATGTATCCTAAATATATGACTTAAACATATTTATGTACTTGCATTAGTTAAGAAATATTTCTACTAAATAGTACTAAAACTTAAGTCATTACTAAATACCATCACATGTGTTTTTCTTCCCATTAGTTAAACGCTAATTTTGGTTTTTTGTTGTGTTTTTTAAAGGTAACATTGTGAAAGGTGAGCAAAATGTGTTAAATAATCCACATACCTCGTGTGGTTCAAATATACCATGTGATTCAGATGGGGATTGCATCATCCCTTGTAAGAAGCATGGGGGCGGAGGGTGCTATAATTTTGGAAATCCAAGTGGTGCTACATTTTGTTGTTGTAAAGATAGATGGCCTCCTGCATATTAATAAATGAATTGATTACATTTATGAAAACTATTTTTTTAAATTTTGACATGCATCACATATGCTTTGATATCTTTATTTTTATAATGCCCCATATAAACAACTTTTTCATAGATTAGAATAAATAAAATGAGTGTGGATCTAAGAACTATGAATTGAAAGAATTTGTCTAAAAAAAGATGTGTATATAATAAATTTTAAGTTATACTCCGTACTAGCTAATATATACCCCTTTTCTATAAATTGTTCTAAAATATTTGCATTAATACTGCGATTTAGAGTGTGTAAGCTAGAATGAAACCACAGGTGTTGTCCAAGTATAAAGAGAAAATAAGTCACAACATATCGAACATTATCTTAGGCCCAAATACTTTACTTTCTCTGTTTTATTAAACTTCGTCGCTGCACGCCGTTTTCTCCCTCGTCGCTGATCTTTTCTCACTCCAATGTAATTCATCGCCATCGCCAAAACATCTCTTTGCCAGATCACTGCAATCCTCGCTCGCCACCGATCAAATTCCTGAGCCGGCGTCGCTTTGCCAGTCCAGCAATGACCTTACAATTGATGGAAAAGAAAACCGATGCTTTATGTTTTACAAAGATGAGGATCGATGGAACAAAGATGATGAAGCTGGAAGCGATGAACTTGAAGATGTAGACAGTGACGAGAACTAATGTTTTGGACTATATCTTCCATATCAATGCATATTTTAATTTAGTTCACTTCGACTGTTTATACTTTAGCTTGAAACGTACGCAAATGATGAACTAATCTTGAGATGCTGGTTTACTTTCTAGTAAATGGATTAGTTGTAACCCTTTTGAGCATGCTGGTTTGAAACATAGTATTCGTAACAGTTATAATCAATGTTAATGTTGGGTCAAAATAAACCATTAGCGACAAAATAAAATGTTTTAATCACACAATTTTTTGTGGGTAATCCAACTTTTAGCGACACTTATAATAAATGTAAATGTTGGTAAAAATAAGGTATTGTCGACAGGAAAGAAGGATTTACCCACATTATTTTTTGTCGGTAATCCATGTTTTAGCAAGATACTCCCTCCGTTCCACAAAACCATTTCCCATTTTGACTTTAGGCAAAAATAAGGAAAGTATAATTTTGGCTGACTTTTCAATTTTGCCCTTGATGTGATGAGAAAAAGTAAGATGTGATAGTTTGGTTATTAGTGAAAAAGTATGATGTGATAGATAGTGTATGAAAAAGTAGGGGTAAAAGTGGTTTTTTAATAAAAAGTGGAAGTGTTTTGTGGAAAGCAAAAAAAAGAAAGGGGAAGGGTTTTGTGTAACGGAGGGAGTATATGTTTTGTCGGTACTTCTCTCTTTTTTAGCGATATCTTTGATCTGTCGCTATTATACTTTTTTAGCGACAACATATTTTATCTGTCGGTAATACTTTTCCTGATGGAGTTTTTAGCGACAACGTAGCGACAGACAGTTATCTGTCGGTAAAAGCGAGTAGCGACATATTGATCCATGTCGGTATTGCCTCCATATTTTTGTAGTGACCATACGGAGTGTTTCTGAATTCTAATCCAAAAGTTGTACTCCCTCCGTCCCATAAAGTATTACCCATTTTGACTAAAGTTGAAATTAAAGGAGGGATAATTTTGTGTTAACTTTCCAAAAATACCCTTGATGTGATGAGTAAAAGTAGGATGTGATGTGTAGATTATTAGGAAAAAGTTATAATGTGATAGATAGGGTTTGAAAAAGTAAGGGGTAAAAGTGATTTTTTAATAGAAATGGGTAAGGGATTATGGGACACAATTTTTTTGAAACGTGTAAATCTTTTTGGGACGGGGGAGTACTAATTTCATAAAGTAAAGTACGCACAACATATGCATGCTTCCTCCGTGTTTAATTAAACTTTGGCGATATATATTATCACGTGTAGAAAAATAGTAACGGAGAATAATTCTATATAGAGTTGTCTTCGAGATTTTAAAGATTCAATCTTCTTTATGTAGATAGAGCGTTAAATAAATAAGTCAAGTTTTATTCCTACCATAATGTTATTCTTACTATATCAAGAATAGGGAAACTATATCAAATCCTAAAACAGATAAATCCTATAAAATTGAGAATAGGGAAAACCATGTAAAAAAAATGAAAATAGAGAATAATTCTATATTGAATTGTTTTGGAGACTACAAAGATTCAATCTTCTTTATATAGATAGAGGGTCAAGCTAATAAGTAAAGTTCTATTCCTACCAAAATGTTATTCTTACGATAACAAGAATAGGAAAACTATCAAATCTTAAAACATATTCTAACATCACATTCTTTCGATAACTTTTTTAATCACATATTTTTATTGTTCACTTGAAAAAATTATTTCTTTCCAATTTTTTTATAGAACTTTTGATTGTATATTTAAAAATGTAATAATTTATATTATATTTCCATATTAATTTATGATTAAAATAGCTTAAAAAGCGATAAAATTTTATGCATGATTCGAAAAAGAAAATTTATTTAAAGGAGTAAAATTAAAGTAAATTAATCTCAATTAAGCATGCATGTGCTGTAAGATGCACAAAACAAGCATGAGTATGGTACGGTGGTGTGTTCTGTGGGAGTTTAACTTTTTATTCCATATTTGAAAAAAAGGAATACATGTCCTTCTCATATCTTCTTACTCCGTATTAGTTATTATTATGATACTCATCTCCAGGTAGTGTGTGCCCCCACACACACACACACAAATGTAGCATTTGAAATATATTTGTTAGAATAATACGGAGTATTTCACATATTGCCATATAATACTCGTCTGTTCTACAAACCACTTCGGCCAAAAAAATTTTGTGCAACCTTCAAAACTTTTCTATCGCACTCAGTGGCGGATCCAGGAAAATATCTCACCGGGGGCATCTTTGACTCCTTCAAACTATACTCCGTACAATACTGGGAACAAGGGTACCAGATGCGGCACATTTGATTTTTTTTTAAATGAAATGTCAAATGACCAAAAAGTACAGGGTAATTAATTTAATCTCAAATAACCATTCAAATATGGAGCAGTTAAATGATTGGGTCACATTTGGCATCTAAAAGTCAGAAGAATATCGAACTAAATAGTTATATTTTAAATGTTTCACTTCCATATTCAATTTTTTTTTAAAATTATAAATGCTTACTTTTTTACAAGCATTATTTTTTCGTACATTACATTTTCATTCCACATTGATATAATTTTTAGAAAATGCCCCTCCGTCCTGAAAAATGTTTCAACTTTCAAATTTCATCCATCTCAAAAAAATACTTTCACTTTCAGTTAAAACCTTTCTTTTACACATACTAATTATTAATCATGCTATCACATTCTAACGATTCACTATTATTTTGCTCATTATATCCTATTGACTATTGTACTCTACTATGTGCGGATTATAAAATACAAATAAATTTGAAAAGTAACACTAAAATTGTACATTTTTAAAACTCTTTTTTTTTTACTGTAAAACTTTTATGGGATGGAGGTGGTAATATACTACAAAATCAACAATTTCCCATAAACAAATAAATTCATAAACACATCACAAAAATTGTACATAATACATAATGACTAAATTAATTAAAGTATAAAAATAATAAGGAGAATAGAAATACGAAAATTTTGGATTTATTCTTAATGATATAGGTATTTTTGAAAACCCATTGGGGGCATATATAAATTGGACGGGGGCACAACCCATAACCAACCTAAGCATTATAAATTTTTTTTCATAAATTAGAATGCATACTTTCTAGTTAATGAAATTTCACTGGGGGCATATGCCCCCCATGCCATAACTATGGATCCGCCTCTGATCGCACTTAAAATATCTAAAATACACTTCCATTTCGCAGTTTATGGCGGATAAAATTTGTTTTAAAGTATTTTAAACACTTTGGATAAAATAAAAGTGTTTATGTGGTGTGCCAAAAAATATGGCGAAAGTATTTTATATGAAACGGATGAAGTATAAACTAACAGAGAAAATTATTTGAAATAGGATTTAAACATGGAACGTTTACACAAATAAGACTTTGAAATTCGTACACCAATTCTATATTTTAACTTTTTAACTTTTTCTTTATTTTTTTCCCCGCAAAATTACATACCCTAAGAGCTACTATACTTTGCTTCACGTGAGTGAACTCAGTGAAGAGCAATAATTAGATTGATGAAGGCTTTTGGACCACTATTAAAAATTCACCTAAAACATACGTAGTACATGTGGAGATGCTGAACAACTTAGTGAATAGAGGTAGACTGCAACATAACCCCACTTATTTGATGCCATGCAAAATTAGCATAAAAATGTCTTTTATGCAACTTGCAAATCCATATTAAGAAAAACAATATCACTCCATGTTAAGCTAATAAGATTCCATTTCATCACTTTAAAAGTGTGGACCGCATACCACACTACTTCTATATTTTCTTTTGAGTTGGAAAAATAGTGCCACAAAAATTTCTAAGAGATTGAAAAAATTAAAATGTTGAAAATAATACTCGTGCATTAAAACATTCTCATCAAATTTGCTCATAATTACCTTAGGCTAAATAAAGTTATTAGACTACATAATATATGACAATGAAAAACAAAGCAAGAAGAAAAATAATATGTCCTCCATTCTTGATAACTCGGATGCACTAGAGGTGTTTGCTTCTTTGGCTTTACCTGAGAATATAATAGAAGAAATAAATTAAAGCAATTAATTAATGTTTTTTAACACAATTAATTAAATATTTAGTTAAAAGAAATCAACTACCAACATAGGAGATTTATGTGTTACTTACAATCCGATGGTTTCCATCCGAGAATTAACCTTTCTCGGTCGAATACAACGTGATAACCCGCCATGAAATTATCTAGAGAAATAAACAGAGCGCATTATAAGTAATAAACTTATTGGTGGTTATTATGGGCATGCGAATATATTGGAACGTACCCGAAGACCACCGGGACAACGATATGGTCGAGTTGGGTGGTGGTGGCGTTAGTGTCGTATGCTTCGAGGTGCATGAAGTCCTCAACAAGAAAGCCCTTAGTGGCTGTGTCTGGGGACATGTAGGGGTACTCGTAGGTGCACGGTGTGGGTCCGTGGAGGGGGCAGGACTGGCGGCTGTCTCCGAAGCAGTATGAGCTGTTACACAGAACCACCTCGCTTGTCGACGATGAACCGGGCTCGTATGAGTTCAGGCTCATCACCTGCATTTTTTGTTTGTTTGGAGACAAATTAAATCATTTATATACTCCGTATATGTTAGCATGTAAAAATAAGTTTATTAGGTAGGTACCGTGTTTGGGGGTATGGTGTAGGAAGTTGCACAGTCCTTGCAACGACAGGGCAACCAAAACAAATCGCTCCCCGTGTCCAGTGCCACCAGAAACGGAACTGGTGGAGTCCCAATATAAATACGGGCATATTGCAAGCTGATCCCAAATTCATTATTACGTCATGGAAATTAATTAAACAATTAATAATATACGGAGTAGTATGCAAATAATTAAAAGAAAATTAATTGTTTACTTACGATCCCAAGTTGTCTATGCGCGTGGTGACATCGCCGCCTTGAAACGTAAATGCGTGCCGCCGGTGACGGTGTTGATCCCGAGCTGCCATAACCGAATAGTATTCGGCGGTGCCCTTCATGGGCAGACCGGAGCCAACCAAGACTCCGACAACCTCGTCCGAGTCTCGATGGTAAATGTTATAATGCAGCAGCTGCTGCTGGCCGGATACAACACCATCAAAACATCCTAGTTGAAGTGCAAGAAAGATGAGAAGAAGAAATGCTAAGAATTTACTACTCATGGCTAGCTAGCCTGCTGGTTAATTATACTAGCAGAGTTCGTTGAAGAGTTATCTGATGCAAAGCAATGGATCGAAGGGAATGAAGAATGGAGATATAGATAGATGAATGCATATATAGGCTAGGGCGGATATATAAAGCTAAAATATATTGGTAAGCATATACCCTTACGTATTACTTTGGGGCTAAGAATTACGGAGTAAACTACAGTTTCTTTTTCTTATCTTGGTATAACCAAAATGCTTAAGCTTTTAATTAACCACATGCACACACACAATTTACTTTAAGAGGCCAAGCTAACTCATCATATCCAAGAACATTTTTGAAAACTCCACACTAAAATACACTCTCCTTAAATCTATTCGGGGTATTAAAAAACAAAATTTCCCATCTTTTTAGGAGACAGATAAAGTATTTTCCACTCTATAATCTATATGCATCAGTGGTCCTCAAACATAAATATGCATCCTTTTGTGTGAAACATTTTAATTTAATCGCTTTGTGATAGATTTAGGATGGGATATGGATCACTGGATTGGGTAATAAGACGCTTGGATTGAACCACATTAAAATATTGAATCCAATCGATTAGTTAGTTCAACTCTAGAGCTTATATACCAATTATTTTTACTCTTGGATTTCCGATGTGGGATGTACTCTAACACTCCTTCTCAGGTGGACAACCGGGCCATTTTGTATCTAATCGGTTGACCATCCACTTGCAAATGAACTCCCATTCCCTTGACTTTTTTTTATGAGAGCCAACACCTAAAGGATCATGAGCCGCTCGGTATGGACTTCCAAACAAGCAATCGTGTTAAACAGGCCACAGGCCGTTGGGTACAACCTCCATACGGACAACTGGGTTAAAGACTAACGGGCCGCTAGGAATGAACGTCTAGACGGACACTTTGACAAACGAGGTGGGCTAAACCTGGTTTGATACCATGATAGAATTTAGGATGGACATCTGGATTGGGTAATAAGACGCTTGGGTTGAACCACATTAAAAGATTGAATCCAATCGATTAGTTAGTTCCACTCTAGAGCTCTTATATACCGATTATTTTTACTCTTGGATTTCCGATGTGGGATGTACTCTAACACTTTGCAATTTGTTATATACTCCCTCCGTCCCTAAAAACGTAAGATAATTTGATTTTTAAGAGATTTAAAGAGATTGTATTATGTTATTGAGTTTCCAAAAATATTTTTAGATGTCATGGATAAAAGTAGAATTTGGTTGGTAAATTAACCTTTCTTCTTTCTTTGTTTATCCATCTCAAAAAATCTTTCTTAATTATATTTAAAAGTCTTTTTTACCCCTTATAATTTTTAACCTATCTATCACATCACACTTTTTCACTATAAATCTATCTATCACATCTTTATTTACTCATCACGTCTAAGGGCATTTTTGAAAATTCAACACCGGAATACACGCCCTTTAAATCCTATAAAGCTCAAAACAAGAAAGGTTTTGTGGGATAGAGGGTGTAGTAAATAGATGTGATGTGGTGGGTAGGTTAAGAATTATTAGGGATAAAATAAACTTACTCTGTTTCACTATTTTTCGTACTTGTGGCTAAATATGACCAGACCCGCATGAAAATATATACTACTACCATACTTAGGATTTGAACAAAAGTTTTATTAACTGAACCCTAAGGTGACCGAACTCAAGATTACATGCTAAAAATGGGACAAATTTGGCCGAACCCAAAACTTGACTTTACGGATCGGACATGCTATTATAAGAGTTCTTCAAAAATTATATTTTAAAAAATGAAATATAATGTTATAAAAAATAAGGTTATATTCCATATATTAATTTTACACATCAGGATGGGATAAATCATTGGATGTTTGACAGTGGTGCCAGTCATCACACAACTCTGCTTCCTTAGCATCTCCCGTCGTTCTGCGACTATGGTGGTTTGGATGAGATACGTCTGGGTAATGGTAAGGGTCTTCCTATTTTACACATTGGTACCACTTCCCTTCCTACATCTGCTTCTGGATCCCTTTACCTTACTAATGTTCTATGTGTTCTTTAATTATCCAAAAATCTTGTGTCTGTGTCTAAACTATGTTAGACTAATCATGTTTTTGTTGAATTTTTTCACATGTCCTTTGTTGTCAAGAATCTTAAAACGGGGGCCCCTCTACTTCACAGTAAAAATCATGGTGATGTTTATTATCCTGTTTCGGTATCTCCCCAAATGAATCACACACCCTGTCCGAACTGCATCACTACCTTGGGCATCCCTCACTGCATCACTACCTTGGGCATCCCTCAAATAAAGTCCTCTATCATATCTTGACACTGTAATAAAAAGGTCTCAAAAACTCATTTTGAGACTTTTCATTGGTAAAATTTGCACTAAATAGGACTAAAACATAATGACTTTCCTAATGTAGGACTTAAACTTTTTTATTTCCTAAATAGGACTTAGTAATGACCTAGTAGAAGGAATAATGTCTAGCAATGATGGACATTTAGTTAAATAATGACTATTTGAATTGATAATGATCAAAGGTCATACATTATGAAATAAAAACATATGGTCTTATATTGGGAAAGTCATTATGTTTTAGTCCTATTTAAGTAAATTTCTCTTTTCATTGTTCTGCTTGTTCAATAAACAAAACTCATAAGTTACCTTTTTCAGATAACTCCCTTATTAGTAATTCACCACTACAACTTGTCTATTATGATGTATGCATGGTCATGCAACGATGTTTCCATTGATGGCTACAAATACTCCGTATTATGTAATCTTTTTTTATCATGCCCATTTTACTCAATATGTATGGCTTTACCCAATGTGTCATAAATCTCATGTGTGAAAAATCTATTCCATCTCAAAAATCGTGTATTATTTTCATTCTTACGTTTTAAAGTATTGAAAAAAAATGACATTAATTTAGTTTAAAAGAATCGTACATTATTTGTAATGTGTATTATGTATATGCATATTTACCTTTTATACTATTTTAAAAAATAAATTTACTTTGGAAATAGTATTGTGCAAAATTAATAACCTCTATTTATTATTTCAAAAAAAATGTGTATGGCATGTACATTTAAGAAAAAAAAATTAAACTGTGGCGGAAAATTGTGAAATAAAAAAAATATAAAAGGAAATTAGCAATTCAGTTATGAGATGTACTGTTAACAAAAACTTTTTTTTAAAATATGGCGGAAAAGTTATTAAGGAAAATATTATATTGATGACATATTATTACAGTTACTATATTGAGGATGGTTCTTAAGGAAAGCTACCATATTGAGGACCGCTTACATTCAAAATCATTAAATATTGGGAAACTCATTATGTTTTAGTTCTATTTTTTATTTTAAATACTCAAGCACGTCTATTATGTATATAAAAATACAATCAAGATTACCAAATCAATTTTCCCGCCAAAATCATAAATCAATGGCCCAATTTTACTTTAAAAAACTGATGAAATCCTAACCATAGATGACAATCAAAGGGCCCAATTTCAATTTTCTAAATCTTCTAATCCATATCCATACTTTATTTAAAAAGAAGTGAAGTCAATATTATGTTTTCCCGCCCACAGAGTATAATTAACCATTACATATGATAATGTGAAGTTAAAATAGTACTCCCTCCGTTTGGAAAAACACTTCCCATTTGGATTTGGGGCAAAAATAAGGAAGTGTTAAATTATAGTTGATTTCCAATTTTGCCCCTGATGTGATGGGTAAAAGTAAGATGTGATGGATAGATTATTAGAGAAAAAGTATGATGTGATAGGTAGGGTATGAAAAAGTAAGGGTAAAAGTGGTTTTTTAATAGAAAAGGGAAGTGTTTTGTTGGAAGTGAAAAAAATGAAAAAGGAAGTGTTTTTGAGAACGGAGGGAGTAATTAATAAAATGATATTAAGCATGCTACTAATGAAATCAAATTACTGCCTTTGTGAATTGTGGCTTTTTGCTCAATTTGTGGTCTATAAATGGACTATAACTACGTAGTACTCCCTCCGTCCCATAAAGTGTTACCATTTTGACTAAAGTTGAAATTAAGGGAGGGATATTTTTGTGTTGACTTTCCAAAAATACCCTTGATGTGATGAGTAAAAGTCGGATGTGATGTGTAGATTATTAGGAAAAAGGTATGATGTGATAGATAGGATTTGAAAAAGTAGGGGGTAAAAGTGGTTTTTTAATAGAAATGGGTAAGGGATTATGGGACACAATTTTTTTGAAACGTGTAAATCTTTTTGGGACGGAGGGAGTATTATATTTGGAAAGATGAAATGGACTGTGGACTATAAATGGAGTATAGCTACTCCCTCCGTTCTCAAAAACACTTCCTCTCTCATTTTTTCCACTTCCAACAAAACACTTCCCTTTTCTATTAAAAAACCACTTTTACCCTTACTTTTTCATACCCTACCTATCACATCATACTTTTTCTCTAATAATCTATCTATCACATTTTACTTTTACCCATCACATCAGGGGCAAAATTGGAAAATCAACTATAATTTAACACTTCCTTATTTTTGCCCCAAATCCAAATGGGAAGTGTTTTTCCAAACGGAAGGAGTTTTATATTTGGAAAGATTAAAATGGATTATAATAATGAAGAACAAAGTAATAATTAACTAAGGTATTAATTATATAACAGTGTCATTTTTATTTAAAGATGGTAATAAGAAATTAAAGTATCTGAAATTATAGTAATATAAAAATATAAAATGGACTATAACTTTTGCGGGTGTAATACTAGTAAGACATGATTCAATAGTATGGTATTAGCCCCCAAAAATGGAAAACTTTGAAATTCATCGATATATGATACTCCGTAGATGGTAGTAATAAATAAAATGATCTGTGTCTTTAATAATACTCCTTATATATGTCATCACGTGTGAAAATGAATATAACCATTTTAACATTATATACTCAGTATACGAATTGAGACAAATGCAGTCATATATATATAAATATATGCACGGAAGTATACCGCCATTTATAACTCCTTAAACGTCAATCATAACAAGAAGCAACAAACCATAAGACCAAAATATGAAGGCTTTACTTTGCGGCT